AATTTAGCGGATAGATGCGGATTAATTTTTTCCAATCCGCCCATCCAACGGACAGATGGCAGATTAGAGGTTTCCTTGCCGTAACTGAACCGCAAACACCCCTATGTAATAAATATGTTTGTATGTATATGTGTGTTCATATGTTGAAAATTAGGACAAAGAAATAAGAAAATAGAGTTTTTGAAATAACAAAAAAAGCAGTAAAGAAATCGAAGACTCTATTACTGTGAAAAACAGAGTTTCATTATTCTAATTTTTGCAAAATTCTAGTTTATTTCTTTAATTGTTCACAATTTTTGTTTTGTTTTAACTAAATACAATCAAAATTTGATGTAAATTTTGGGACAAAATGTGTATAAGTGAGAAATTTGTGTCATTTTCTTTTTTTGCCCTCATTTTGTAGTCATATGCTTGTCACATTACTGACTTCTGTTAAAAACTTATACGATGGAGTAACAAAAGGGAAACATTGACATTTGAGTAAAAGTACAAGGAGTTAATTGTCACAATTTCATAAGTGTCAGGAGTTAACTATCACAATTTCATGTGTAAGGATCAGATTGGGATTTGACCAAAAGTGTAAGGGTTGACTGTCACGATTTTATGTGTAAGGACCAAAGTGAGATTTGGTGCAAAGTGTAGAGGTGCAAAGTGTAATTTATTCTAAATCTTTAACATAAATCAATAATGTGACAAACATATAACTATAAAATAAGGGCAAACGAGGAGAATCACACTCACTTCCCGCCTATGCACATTTCTTCTCAAAATTTACATCAAATTTTGACTATATTCGGCTAAAACAAAATGCAAATTATGAACGATTAAGAAAACGAACTAGAGTTTGTATAAATTGAAATTATGAAACTTTGTTTTCCACACTAACAAGTTTTATGTCTATTCCTCTTCTTTTCTCTTCGATTTCTTTGCTGCTTTTTACATTTCAAAAGCTATATTTTCTTATCATTTCCTTCTAATTTTCAGCATATGAACATATATATTGTATAACTCTCACATGCTTATTATGTGAGACAAAGTGTGTATTGGTAAAAAATGAGGAATGATTTTCTTCTCTTACATTCATTTCATAAATAGTCACATAACTAGATTATATTAAAACTTAAACAATTGAATAACATAAGAGGATATTGACACTTGACCAAAAGGATAATAGATTGACCGTCACAATTTTATATATAAAGAACAAAATAAAATTTGATACAAACTACAAATATGCAAAGTGTAATTTACCCTTCCTCTATTAAAACTAGCACGTAAGGAAGGTGATTATGATTTTAGGACAATAACTCGTGTTTGCTAGGGCTGAGCAAGGAATCCGTGAAATTCGTAATCCGATCCAGTCCAGTCCAATCCAGTAGGTTTGGATTAATTTTTTGAATCCGTAGTTCGGTTCCGGATTGAAAAATTAAAAATTCGTAGTTCATGGATTGGTTCCGGATTGGAACCGATCCGGACCGTATACAAATAGTCTATATTTTTATTATACACCCTCTTCATAGTATCTTCTCTTATTTCATATAAAACTTAAATCCAAACCTATACTTGCATAGTATCTTATTTTATTACTTTTGTTTGCTAATTTTTAGTGTTAATTTGTAATGGTCTAAATACTTATAGTGGAACTAGTTTTCTTATGGTTGTTTAAATTATAGAACAGTTTGTCGCTATTACGAAAAGACATGTTGCTATTATGAAACTAATATGGTGCTATACTTATATTTTTATGAAATTAAAGTGTTATATATATATTTTTTATTATTTAATTATGTAAATCTGTGGTCCTAAACCGATCCAATCCGTATTTAAATGGATTGGTTCGGATTGATTCCACGATTTAAACGGATTGGATTGATTCTAATTTTTCAGAATCCGTAAATAATAGATTGATCATGATTTTACTCCAATCCGGACTATGCTCACCCCTAAACTCGTGCCTCTTGTTAATCTACCATGTTGATTCTCTCCTTTGGCCTTTCCATTGAGCGGTCAACAGCAAGTTCAATTACGGCTTACAAGCAAATTTGATTGGTTAAATTTACATCAATAGAAAAAATAAAATAGAAAAGATAAGTGAAGAGAAATTAAGGGGTTGTTTGGGATGACCTAAATAAGTGTACTTTTTATCTTTTTATGAAAAGATGTGCAGAAAAGTAAAGAGGTAATGTGATAAAAAAAAGATAAAAAGATGAATTATTTGGGACTTTCCAAACTTGGCCTAAGATAACAAGAATTATTTTTTTAATATTTATTTTACAGAAGTGAAAATTTTCAAAGATATTTTTGGTGAGTGTTTGTTTTGCATGATTATGACAGTACAATGTAGAATTTAAAATCAAGATAACCTTTTCACACAAAAAATAATAAAGAACTCATATTAAAATGTAAAAAATAATAATAATAATAACATATTCATATTATCAACAAATCCCTTTTGTTTTTTTTCCAAGGATAGTGAACATATTCACATTGCCAACAACTTTAATTTAGACTCCATTTATTTCGTCATAAGATATTTCATACAAAAAAATATTCTTTTTGTAAATTGCTTTTACACAAAAAAAAAATATATATATATATATACATTTATTTTATTTTTCAGCATTTGGTTGACACTTAAAAAAATATATATCTTATTGTCTAGAAGTGAAATTTTGATTCAATAAATTGTCATTTATGAATTTTTAGTGAGTTAAGATACCTTTTTGAAATACGTTGAAAAGGTAATGAATGAAAGTCAACTTTGTAAAAATTGACTCATGAAATTTTTAAAAGTAAGTCATTTTTAAAAAATAATGCAAAAAAAATATTTTTACTTACTTTTTGTTCAACTAATTAACAAAAAATGAAAAATATTTTGCGTTGAAACAACGGAGACGGATGTCCCAACTCATGATTGTTGACTTGATTATCCCACCTCACCCCTCCATAAATTAAATAAAATAAAAAAGCAATGCTAAGGATTCCAAAAAAAAATATCAAAAATTTTACACAATACTCACATATTTTTGTAAGGCTCACACCACATGAGACCTACATTAGTGATAAGTTCATGCAAATAAAACATACAACAATACATTACATGGCTAGAATATATTTCAAATGTAGCCCATACCATATCAAACATGAATTGAAACCACAAAATATGTTTTTTGTGTACTTTTTTATATTCTATTTTTGTGCATTTATTCTAGCATTATCGAAAAAATATATAAATATACAAAAAAATTTATATATTTTCTATTTAACAATTACAATAGTACTATACAAACTAACAAATCCTACAAACTTCATTTACTAATTCGTCACCTATTATATTCTTGAAGTGGGTCATATTTAGATTCTAAAATTTCATTATTGCATGTCACATCAATAAGAAAAACTTATAAATATTACGACAATGCTACGTAGCTCAAATTTTGTGACTCAAAAGTGGCTCAAATGGCCAAAACGACGTCATTTTGAGTACAGAACAACATAAAAATGGCCAAAACGACGTCGTTTTGACCATTTGAGCCACAAAATTTGAGCTACGAGACATTTTCCTAAATCTTATTACTTTATTAGCATTTTTCTACAAAAATATAACAATTCAAGTGAAATTGAACAAATTAGTTTTACACAGTATTGGGTACAACTCAACCCCAAAACTAACTGTTGAAGTCAAAGTGCCCTTACACTTGTCTACTTCACATTACTCTACTTTGGTACCTAGGCGATTCTCTCGCAAGAGGTGCTCACCTGGCAACACCTACCGCATGCAAAGTTAAGATTCACACCCATCTATCTCTACTACAACTCTAATAGTATGTTACACAGTATGAGGTAAAACGTAACCCCAACAGCTAGCTATTGAAGTAAAGATACCCTCACACTTGTCTACTTTACGTGACTTTAATACGTAAGTGATATGGGACATTGTTTCACAGTTACAGCAATTTATGAATTGAAAAAACTCATTCAAAAACTCTTCACACAATAAAACAAAGACAACTTAAATACAAGATTAAGCCTAATAAAATATCTATACACAAGAATTATAGTTTTTTTTTTTATATTTTTCTGTAAAAGTTTACATGAAAATACATTCTCACAAAAACTCCCCAAAGCAATTTCCTGATCCAGCTATAGTCATGTTTGGTGGAGCTTTTCTCAAGCTAAAAGTTGATAGTCAAATGGTAAAAGTTAAAAACATCCCTTCCTCAGCTTTTAAATACTCAATTTTTTTCTATTTAAGTTTTTTCTGTCTAATAAGCTATAAGCAGAAGTTGCACCAAACAGTCTAACATAAACTCTCAAATTAAAATAAAATATAATCATCTTCTAAAAGTTGTACCAAACAACCCCTATATCTAGTATGTTATTAGCGAAATAAAGAAAACAAAATTTGTTATGGTATAGGTGACCCTCAAAATCCTTAACATAAGCATGAATAATTATGACGATAGAATAAAGGGATTGAAAGAACTACATGCTCTTGTCAAAAAAAAAACAAAACAAAAACAAACAAACAACGAAGAAAAGAAATATTGAACTTGCTGTTAGGATAAATTAGCAATTTCACCTTTTTGGAAGTTGAAAATCTAGAAAAATGTTTTCACATTGAAGCCAAATGCTAAAAAAAAATTAAGAGAAATGGAAGTGTTTTGTAAGTAAATAGCTTTACATAAATAAAAACAAAATTGTTTTCCACTTTGCTGCGAAACGAACATAAGAGAAAAGGAAAATTATTAACAAAAGAAAATAAAAATATATATAAATAAATAAATAATAATAAATAAATAAGAACCAGAAAGAAGAACCATAAGAATAGCCTGTACATTTGATTTTTCAGCAAAAAGGCTGAGAGTAACTGCATTGGATTCAGTGTTCCTGTTGCATTCTGCAAGTAAATAGCTTTACATAAATAAAAACTAAATTGTTTTCCACTTTGCTGCGAAACGAACATAAGAGAAAAGGAAAATTATTAACAAAAGAAAATATAAATATAAATAAATAAATAATAATAATAAATAAGAACCAGAAAGAAGAACCATAAGAATAGCCTGTACATTTGATTTTTCAGCAAAAAGGCTGAGAGTAACTGCATTGGATTCAGTGTTCCTGTTGCATTCTGCAAAACAGAACACTTCAAATTTTTATTTTGCAAGGAAAGCATTTGAACAGAGGAGCACCAGTATGCATGAGTTTGAAACCAATCCAGGCATAAACTATGCCAAAGCTTGAGACATAATTGAACGATGAGAAAGCTGGTGCTCATAAAGTTCACGGAAAATATGGTATTTGGCATCATGGTACTTCTTCACTTTCGGGTCTTCAGATGGACGGACAACCTGCTCAGATCCAAGCATAAAAATCACACAAAGATGTAAAGGCACCCGGATATAAAATTGGATGCATTAGAAAACTGATTAAATGTCTGATATAAGAGTTTATATCTTCAGTTCTCACGTAAGAGCAAAGTACTATTTACCGTGTATTAGAAAATTTGACAATTTTTTTTTAGCGATATCACATCAGAAAAATCTGGTAGTTGAGCTGGTATCATGCCATGCCAATGAATGCAAGTTTAACTGATCAAACCCATACAAATCATCTCAATCCTTCCCGTTAAATGCATGCCTGATGTGCAGATGATCAAAGTGAAAGAAGCAAAGAATGCAAGCTCCAACTAGAATATATAATTAGGTTGCCCGCAGGTTGATCTCAGAGTGAAAATCCATCACCAACTGAGCTTGAATACCTCCTTCGCCTTGCCATAACTAAATGAACAAAACAGAAACAAGCAGTAACTAGAAATGGTGTTTACATACCTGTCCAGCTGCATTGAGTGCTTTCATGGCCTCATTGACACTAGTATATTTCTTTGCAGCAACAGCACCAAGAATGGCAGCACCTAAGAGCACAGATTCACTTTCTCGAGGCATAACTATAGGGTAACCTGTGCCAACAACAGAAAAGCAAGACTTAAATTTGTCAATATGTGGTCAGTGAAGCCAATCAGTAAAAAACAAGCACAACCTGAAATAGTTGGGATTAAGGCTTTGGAAAGCTGATTAAGAAAATGTTTAAAAGAAGGCTCGTTTGTGAATTCAACCTGCCGTGACATTTTCCACTCCAACCCTTAATAAACCTTTTCGAAATCATCATCTTTTTTGGTTACCAAAACAGTTCAATTTTTTTCCACTCCCCAACCTTTTGCGGTCAAGGAGTATGTTCAAGCCTCTCGGCTTGATCAATGTTTAATTCCAGCTACTGAAACAGAGCAGTTAATCACTTTCCAGATTCCAGAAGATCAGCATTGCAAACTGGAGTTCAGACTAGCCTTAATACTTATAATTGGTCATAGGTCCATCTTTCCAAACTAACAAAACAACCTACATGATGATAACCTAGAGGAAGGTCAAGCATTGCGAATTGAACTTCAAGACTAGTCAAGACATAATTCAGAGCATAAACCAACCAATAAAAAATCCCCCAATATTATGTACCGATAAATTGCACTTCTTAACAAAAATTTCAATCTCAGATCCATTGAAAATGATAAATGTGCATCGTATGTATTTTTTACGAGTGCAGCATATTAATGCATGCAATCATATGTATACGTAATGTAAATATATATGTGTGCCAAGTTATGTATTTCCAGATATTAGACCTATTAGCTTGATTGGAGAAGTATACAAACTCTTGGTATCCGCCTTGAGGATGTGTTGCCTATGGTGGTATCTGAGTCCCAGAATGCTTCTGTTGGAGGTAAACAGATTCTAGATGCAGTTTTGGTGGCTAATGACGGTGTGGATTCCAAGATGAGCAGTGACAGATCTGAGCTTATCTACAAGCTTGACATTGAGAAAACTTACGTTCATGTCCACTGGTATTTTCCTTATTTATTGTTTGGAGCAGATGGGGTTCAGTCAAAAGTAGAGGAATTGTATCCGCTATTGCATTTTTATTATCAGGGTGTCAGTTCTCATTAATAGCTCTCCAGCTGGTTTCTTCCACTTGTCAAGCAATTTGTGGCAGGGAGACCATTTGTCTCCCTTGATGGTGGTCATGCTATTTGGGACATTGCCTTGCAGAGAGAGCTTAATTATTGAGAATTGGAGAAATTGACGGATCTTCTTTGCCATCTATATGCTACTTGTCTTGGTAATGGAGGAGAGACACTTTTCGAAGTTCTTGTTCCACTTTTGGCCTCTTTTTCGTTAGTCTTTTTATGAGACTCTTGTGTGTCATGAGATCTTTTTGTCCTTGGAAAAAGGTGTGGGGTTCCAAGGACCTTCTAAGGTGGCTTTTTTGTGTGGCATGTGCTGAATGGTAAGATTCTAACAGTCAATTTGATTAAAAAGAAGCAAGTGCATATTAATTGGTGCTGCATGAGTAAGAAAGACAGGATATTGTTGAGCCATCTCCTTAGTCATTGTGAGGTAGCAAGAGAGTTACGGTCTTTGCCTCTCCTCTGATTTGGTGTGGAGTCGGTGTTCCCTTTGATGGTAGGGAAGTTTTGTTCATGGAATGTTGCTAGAGTTGGGAGGAGGATGAAAGCATGGTGCTTGGTTCAACTGATTATGATGTGGTCAGGGTGGGATAAAAGGAGCAGAACTTTTGATGGAAAGAAAAGCCTACTTCTAGATTGAAAAGTAGATGTTTGTCCTTTTTGTAGAGTGGCTTTCAAGGGTGATCAATCCATCCTTCAACCAATATTTTAGATTTTGTAGAGGCCTTTGATTAAGTTTTTAATTAGAGTTTTGATATATTTCCTTTTGTATACAGGTTGCAACTACTTTGTGTCTCTTTTATACATCCATCTTTATTTATCAAAAAAGATGTATTGAGAGAGAGACAGAGAGAGACAGAGAGAGACCAATGATATCTGCATGCTCCTGAATAAACACAGGGTTCTTTGCAAGTCCACCACATGCAAGTAGCGTATCAATCTGCAAACAAAGAAACGAATACTTCGATAAAATTAGGGAAAATATCTATCCTCAATCAATAAGACTGTTCTGATGTGAAACTAAACGTGTTAAAAACTAATATAAGGAGAATAAAGTGTATATCATTCTTACCTTGTGCCCATGGGCATTGCAGTGGTCCACGATGTGACGTGTACCATATGCAATACCCTGCACTGTGGCAAGGTATAGAAGAGCCAACTGTTTTTCACCTGTGTCTAGAGTTAAGCCACAGACAATACCTTTCGACTTTGGGTCTGCAAAGGGAGACCTGAAACAAAAAGTAAGCAGCTTATTTCAGGGAAACAAAACAAAACAAAAACAAAGAGTCCACGAAATACAAGTAAACAAGTCAAGTTTCAATCTCCATTCTCCAACATTTACCTGTTTCCATGGAAATCAGGAAGGACATGTATATCATCAGTCAAAGCACCAATAAAAGGAGATCCCAGGTCATGCATCATTGACTCCAAAATCTTGTTCAGTAATTGAAACACAGAAATACCTGGATAACTTTAATGAATGAGGAAACAAACCTAACTCGCAAAATGCAGAAGACACAAATTTATCTCCAGGACAATCAACCACATCTTTCACAGTACATCACACTATAAACAATACCTTACCTTTAGAAGCAGCACGATTAGCAAGGTGAGAAGAAGCAACATGGTTTTCAATTATATGATCCAACAATGCACCAGTAGCACTCTGGCCACCCTCTGTCAGCCAATACTCAGGTACCATCGCTGAACATATTTGGTAAAAAGGAAAATGATGATGCTTATTAGTCAGGAGTTACTTCCGAAGGCAACAACTAAACAAGTAACAGCAGGTTATTAACTTCTTGTGCCCCTCACATCATTCTACACAATTGCCAAACCCTGATCTCGAAAAAGAACTTAAATGAAGAAAACAAGGACGTATCATTCTAAACAAAACAAACACCATTTAGCATGGATCATCTCTTAGAACTGGTGCTCCTAAACATTAAATCCACTCAGTCGAGAAATACTGAAGAAGCATATGGAAGGCATTCCTAAATGTCTAATTTGCACTATTATCGGACAACAGCTATTCCCAACTTAATCACTAGGCCATGCTTTTAAATTTTTTAGGAATCATTATAAAAGAGCTACCTTATAATTAAAATTTTCAAGCCAAGTACCTCACATTAAGTGCCCAAAGCATACCTGACCAATATGGTCCCCAGATCCCTGGGATGAACAACTTGTTCCTGGATACAGCCATATGACAAGTAGAAGTTCCACAGACTAATACCAGACGACGGCATATAGCTTCCTCGTCAAACTCTGGACACTAATGTTTTGTCAGGAAAAAATGTATTTTCCCAATAATAGCAACTAGATTATGACAAAAGGTAGAACAGCAACAACCTTTTGATTCAGAATCTGACACAGGCACACTTTCCATTACTCCCACACCGCCAGCATGAGCATCAATCAGCGAAGTTCCCACAGGAAGTCCTGCTATCAGACCCAATTCCTGAAAATTTAAAGTTCTTCTTAGCAGAATAAAGAAAAACACCAACATTGTATATTTTAATAATATCATGAGAGCCAGCCTCCAAACCCCCACAGAAAGGATACAATCCTATTCCTGTAACTAAATATGTGCATTGGCTACATTAATGAACCTCAATGAAGCTCCACTTGTAATCAATGTGAATTCTTCAGTACAAAGTTTCTTGCCTTCGCAGCAGTAGGTGTTAAACCAGAACCCAAAGCATGGCCAGGAAAAGCTACACTTCGTCCTGTTCACAGAATAATAATTAAATCATTAACTGCAGTCAAGAAAATATGATAATAGAAAAGTGTTGCAGAGTTTGTACAACAAACATTATTATTTTTAGCAGATTGACACACCAAACTCACTAGAATGTGAGAAATAACTAGCCATATATCTGCTTGAATGTTACAAAACAATATTTATCTAGTCATAATGTTGGACCTAATACCAACAATGCAGCACTTAATTCTTATGAAGCTCACAAAATAACAACCCCAAAGAAATATGGAAATAATTTGGCTACGACTTAGGTCGTCCCGAAGTTTCATCAGACAGAAAAATGGATACAAAAAGAATTTTTTTAAAACAAAGATATACCTATCTTAGCATGATGTCCATCCATAAGATCACCTAAGCCAATCTCCTCCCAGAAGTCATCATCCCATCCACAAGCTTCCATATCTCGGGACTCTTTCTCTATCTGTTGCATGTGTGCATGACCAAGATATGTCCATTTGCACACTGTGGTACACAAACTTCGAGTATCATCTCCTGTTGCTCTAGGAAAATAACAGAAATTAGGACAAATTCATGTAAGCCAGCAACAAAACTTGAGTTTCTACATACAAGAATTGTGAACTCAAAACGTAAAAATCACAGAAATTTCAAAGAGGTAACATGTCCGTGTTGGACACATGTCGCACACCGAAACTTGTTGGACACTTTCCAACACATGCTGGACACTCATCCAAAAGTGTACTGTTATATTTTTAGACCCTGGAATGCTTCAAACACTAGAGGGACACACGACACATTATAAGTTTGAACAAAATAATTTAGAATACAATTATAAAAGAAAATTAATCTAGATTTAAACCTTGTAATCCCTCTACCTTTAAACTTTAGGATTAAGTGTTATGTTGCATTTTTTAATTATTTTCTACTAAAATATCATATATGTGACATATAATAAATATATAAAATTATATATTTTTCATATGTCACCCCATGTGTCATATCTTGCATTTTGTGAAATTTTTCATGATGGCACATCCATGCTGTGTCTATGTCATGTCGTGCATTTGTCCTTAGCTCACAACAATTCATAACAGACTAGCAATTAATTGTACCTGTATGACAACCAGTCACTCAAGTCCATCCACCTAAAAACCATTGACCATGATTCTCGCAAATTTTCTTTCACCCATAAAAGCTGGAAAAAAACAAATTGCATTAAGAATATTCACCATTGAACTTTCAAAAATTAAAGAAATCCAACTTTTCAAAATTCTACTACATGAGCAGTCTAATAATCACTTTCTATCTGGCAGATCTCTTGGCATTACAATCAAAAGATAAAATAAATGGCATACATGTGGAATATTGGGACATCAAAAAACAAAAACAAAAAGGAGAAATAAAACAATATAAAGGAAAAAAATAAAAACTGAAGTAAATCACCACAAACTCATTCAAAGCACGTCTAAAACATGTAAGGCAGCAAAGGAGTGTCAATTTTAAGACAATTTTCTTACACAAAAATAGTTCCTTTATGCAAGTTACAAATGACTCAGACATTCTGATGTGGGTTGAATTATAAAAACATTCACATTCCGTCCCACTGTTTAAAGTAGAAAACATATTATTTAGTGATGCACAGTATATTAAAAAAAATAGGGCAAATCCAAAATTTTGTTTACGCATGTTTAGGGCATCATGAAATGAAGTTTTGGAATCATTTTGAGTCACTATATGTTTTTATTTTAATTTAATATTCTTATGAACAAATTTAATAGCTTTTATTACGTTTTAGTAGTTACGAACCAAAGACGCACAAAACTTTTAGAGAGTATCCGTTATCGTGTCAAACACCAACACATATATTGATGTAGTTAGAACTAGTATGGTTGAAATGTTTTAGCACTATAAGAGTTAGTTAGAGTTAGTTGGGTCTTTTATCCTACAAATAGGTGGTTACGCCACTCTAGTATTCAGTTTATGATATTTTGATATTGAATATTTCAGAGCTTGAGAGCTCTTGTACCCATTTTGGGATTTTCTCTCTCTAATGGAATCTCTTTCTTGATTGGTTTTCATCATTTTGGTAACAGAGCATTAGGTTTTGTGCGTTCCCTCAGTTCTTGCCCTAATTGCACTGTTTGAAATTGGTTAGATAATTACTCGACTGAGTTTTCTGATCATTACAGCAACTAGACCCTAAACTTCAACATCAAGCTATCGCAAGCTGTGACACTCATTCTTCACGATTTCTGAGTTTTGGGATTGAACTCTGCTTATTTTGAGTCAAGCTATCAAGATCGCAATCTGGGTTCCTTGAATTTTTCGGGTTCTTGTTTCAGCCTGCAATTCCGACCTGGAAGGTTGCAATTTGGGTTCGATTCTTGAACTGTTCTTGGTTCGATTCTCTTGTTCAAGAGCAGTTTCTGTTGAAGACATTCATAAGCCACTGCGAATCTGTTCATCGATTCGATTTCTTAGTTCAAGTTTGCCCTAGATCTCAACTTGCAATCTGAAAGAAGACCTCCAGATTTGACCTAGGTGTTTGCACTTCAGATTCATATCAAAGCCCTGGCTGTTTGTGATCTGTTTTCAATCTGTTTTTGGATTCAACTTCGTGAATTGAATTTCAATCGGGATTCCATTTTCCGACTCAAGATCAACCTTGCTTGACTTGGTTCCTCGTTCATCCATTGACCAGCAAATCAACTGTTGTAAGTCAATTCTATTGAGTTCTTGAATAGATATTGATTCTTGAATGATCTTCATTGTTGCTGATTGTGTGGACTGGTTTGTTGCTGAAAGTCGATTCTTGAATATTGATCTCATTATTCATTTGATTCTTGATACACTCTTGCATTTGGGATCCTACGTATTTTTGCATAATACATGATTCTTGATTGACTGATTTTCATTCTGGACTATTCAATTAAAATTGAGTTTGTACGTGGGTTGGGTTTCTGGACTGGAATTGGATCTCTGTTGCTGTGATAAGAATTCTTCTTTGGACTGGAATTGGATCTCTGTTTCTATTATAATTCTTTGAATACAAGTCAGTGGGTGTAACAGCTGTGTGTGGTTCTTTCTGCCAATCGCTCAACGAGGTCAAGGTCATAGAGGTAGCTATGATAGGGCTTATGCTATGAATTTGGGTGAAGAAATTGAGATGAATCCTTCAATTGAAAGGAACATTGGAAGCCAAAATCAACGGAAATAGATTGAAGAGTTGAATTCACAAATAGCTACCTTGGTTGGAAAGGTGCAACACTAGCAACTTCATCCCAAAGGCAGTAATGGTTCCAAGGATCATCAACTTGATGATTTCTTTGGTGCTCCGCATAGGCGTAGAGCATATTCATACGGGTTAAATCCCGAGTGGAATGACACCGTCAATGATTTAGTGTTTCCCGAATTCCGTGGAAGCTACAATTTGGATGTATTCAAGGAATGGTTGAAAGCAATTGAAAGCCATTTGGAGTGTTATGATGTGCCGGAAGCAAGGAAAGTGAAATTGGTCTCTCAAAGCCTCAAAAGTCGTGCCTCCGATTGGTGGAAACAAATACAAGTTGGTAGGCAAAGAAATGGCCAAGAAAAGGTTAGAGAGTGGAGAAAGATGAGAAAGAAGCTCAAGGAGCACTTCTTGCCTTCTAGTCATGTGCCACCTTTGTTGGTTGAGAAGCACCAAAAGAAGGGTATTTCAAATTTCGGACATCAATACCAAAGAGGCTTGGCAATCGGACAACCATCCTATGACTATGTCTAAGTTGGTTACTCAACTAGTGTGGGAATGAAAGAAACTTTTGATGATAGACATTATCATAAGATGCTCTTTAGTGATGAGGCGGTCAACCAAGTTATGATGCAGAAGATGTGGAAGAAAGTAGTGATCATGGGCAAGATTCTGATCCGGATGTTCCTATCTTTGATGTTGGAGCTTCCATCTTTAGAGGAGGAGATAATGATCAAACATAAGGTTGTGATCAAGATGTTCCTATTTTTGATGCAGAACAAGGATACGATGAAAATGTTTCCATCTTTGATGAACCGATGGGGACATTCGATTACGATGAAGTTAATGTTCATGAATATGAAAAGAAAGTTGATGTTTGTGCATATGGAGGAGCTCCAATCTTGGACCACTATGATGATGAGGATGATTTTCTTGTAGAGAGCGAAGGTGTACTTGAAGTAGAAAGTTTTGTAGATGAAGCAAGTTTTACTCTCATATTGCTTCCCATGAAGGAAGTGGTTGCAATCCCTCCTATTTGTTTTCTAGATTCCAAGAAAATTATGGTGGAGAGTCATGACATTGAAGTTTCATGAGTGTTGAATGATCTTTGCTTCCGAGAAATGCCTCTTATGCTATCTTCAAATACATTTGTTCCACTTTGTGTTGACTTGGTACCCAAGCCGGCTTCGTGGAGGAAGGATGTGTTTATTTTGGGCCCATGAGAGAAACGTTATTTTGATGACATCTTGTTTCCAAAATGACATGCTACATGGGTGCCTATTCGCACCTCAACATGGCTTCAGTTGATGTCCATAAACACGAACTCATTTCGATGGAAGGATATTTGCTAGGATGATCTTGAATAAGGACTTGCAACTACTTAGTCTTGTTCGCCATTGCATGTTCATCATGCTTCCCTAAGTCATTGAATTGAGTCATTTCTATTGAATTTGTTGTCTTGAGTCAATTTGCTGTAGTCCCAACTTGAGGACAAATTGTTTCCTTTAGAGAGGAAGTCTAATGTAGTTAGAACTAGTATGGTTAATATGTTTAGCACCATAAGAGTTAGTTGGGCCTTTTATCCTATAAATAGATAGTTAGGCCTCTCTAATACTCAGTTTTATGATATTTTGATATTGAATATTTCAGAACTTAAGAGCTCTTGTACCCATTTTGGGATTTTCTCTCTATAATGAAATCTCTTTCTTGATTGGCTTTCATCACCTATGACACTGTAGAAATGAATCCAACACTTCTTCAATGTGTCCTAATTAAAACTTTAGAACTTCAGCAACAATTTGCAGACACTTCTTGGAACCTCCAGAAATACGACCACGACCTATTTGATGAATCGCCTAATAATAACGATTTGTGGTATAATGCAATTTTTACACCATAGATATGTTTTAAAACATTTACACAAATATAGCAATGAACAACTTCTAGCACATGAAAGATATATAGAAATAAAGATTAAGATTTAAATCTAAGAAGCATGGACACTTCTAAAAAGGTAACGTGTCCGTGTCGGACACCGACACTCTTTGGACACTTCCCCGACACATGTCCGACACTCTTCAAAACGTGTCATATTTTTTAAAAACCCGGACACTCTTTGGACACTTAGAGGACACATATTTATCTCTTAAACACACGTATCTATCGATTAGACACATGTGAAATTAATTATAAGTATGAACAAAACTACTTATGATATAATAATAAAACAAAAACTAAATAAATTTAGAGAGATTAGTGTCATATTGTATTTTTTATTATCTTTGAATGATATATTCATATATATAACATAAAATAAATATATAAAATTATATATTGCATGCATGTCCCCTACGTGTTGTGTCCCGTATTTTTTGAAAATTAGCGTGTCAACGTGTCCGTGTCGCATCCGTGTCATGTCACGTGTCCGTGTCCACGCTTCTTAGATTTAAATATATATATATATAGAGAGAGAGAGAGAGAGTATACAGGCAAACAATTGGAATATAGATCACATGTGATATTTGTGGAGCTTGATATTCCAGAAATTGCAATTTTAAGTTGAAATACATAAATAATATATTAGTTTACATTTTTTGTTATATAGCACGCATATGAGAACGAGATACGTAAATAAAGTAATATGTTGTTGCATCCATGTCTTGTCTTGTCCTATTTTTTTAAGATTTACTGTGTTAGCGTGCTTGTATCAAGTCATGTTGATCTCCCGTATTTGTCTGTATGCTACATAGTTATGGGCATTTTAACAATTTATAATTTTGCTAGACATGGGTTGTAGTTTTAGTCCATGGGTCATAGTAATAGTCAAGTTATATTTTTGAATCTTTTATAATGTACTCTATAATTTTTTATTTCTCGATTTCCTTTGTCTACTTTTGAGGAGGATTTCTTGTCCTCTAATGTTTTGCATTTCTCTTTTTTCTTTTACTAATAAAATTTGTGTTGTCGATCAAAAAGATTTACTAGTTTCCTATTTGTGAGTCAAAAATCTTTAAAGAATGAGAGAAGTCTAGCAACTTATAAATATGCATGTAATCTTTCTCTTCAATATAGAGTTGATTTATGAGAATTTGAGATCATATTTAAGTGAATACACCAAACCCTTCCAATGGTCAAGAACTTCTCTCTCTTTCTTCTTCGTGGCACAAATACACAAACTATTAATCACGGCTTCCTATTTGTAAGCTCACTAAAAAATGCACCCTTCAACGCAAAACCCCAACAAACCAAGCCTAAAACACCCTAACCCATTCCCCTACTTATAGGCCCCTATAGGCCTTCAATTTAACCATTGAAACCATAAATCAAGACCCTAAATTAGCTATATTCTGAAAATCCAGCAAGCTTCCAATTTTGAAACCAAATTAGTTTTAGCCCTTCTCCATCTTAAACACCAAAGCAACATTTGGTACCCTGGAATGGAATGAGAGGTTGAATTGAATGGAATGTCTATTCCCATTTCATGGTTTGGTTGTTGTAAGAAGGGGAAAATTGAAGATATAAAATTCAAACTTCCCACCCAAAATGCAAAGGCGGAAAAAGCTCGAAGTAAATATTCAAAATTCATAGAAATGGCACGAACCCCAATCTAGGGGGGAATTATGTTTTTGGGACTCAAAAGGTTCGATGAACATGGAAACCCATGTGGCCAGAACCCGAAAGGTTCAATGAACCCGGAAATCTATGCAATTGGCTTTGCAAGATTCTAGGAATCTAGAAGTCGCTCTTTAAAGTGGGTCCCAAAGCAATCTGAGGGCTTGGAGCCATTCCGAGAGAGACGCGCAAATCATATGTCGCAACTGAAGTCAATGACCCTTTCTCAAAGATGTGGAACTCAGAGATATCCATTCCTCATTAAAATAACTCGCCTACACCCGAAGTCTAGGTAGCAGGACTTGGGGGGTCTTCCAAAACTCGGCAAACCTTGCGGCAAGACGTTCCCCAGAACTACCACTGACCCTATCTTGGGATGTTGGGAATTGATGGATTGGTGGCTGAAGATGAAGGATTGCTGGGGCAATTCATAAGACCCCCGGATAGTCTGTTCTCCTCGAGGGTAACCCGAGGGGAAGGCACAAAGTCTTCAGAGGTTGCAATTGCCTCAGCTTGGCAGTCAGAGAGCATCTTTTCCCCATGTGCTCCCTTGGACACAGGGCATCACTACAATCGATTGCTTAAACCCTAAGCTAATCTTGGGGGTGTATAAATACCTACCACCCATAAAGCTCCAGAAAAAATAATCACTTTCCATCTCTCTAGAAACTCACTCATAGAAGTTTTAAGGGCTTTGAAAAAGTGAGAGTGATTGGAGTCAGAAATGGGATTGGAGATGTCAGTCATTATTTCTCTCTCTAACTAGCTTGCTTTGATCTTTCACCCTTCCACCACTTCTCTACATCTCTCTCTCTCTCTCTCTCTCTCTACAAATCTAGTTCTTCCATCACCAAATCTCTACCCTCTTCCTTCCATCTACAAGAAGTTCTACACTTTACGGCGAACTCCATAGTTTCTAACAAGAATCACCATTTCTAGTGAGCTCATTCGAACCCTCTTCTACAATTGCCAACATGGATTGAAGTAGAAATAGAATGACAGTTCGCATTCCTGTGTTTAATTATACCTATTAAGCTGATGAAATGGAATGAAAATATTTTACCAAACTAGTAACAAGAAAACTAAACACCTGGAGATCAATGATGGAATCAATGGTTGTGGTAGTGTGGTGGTTAGATTGGTCATTATGGTAGCAGTAGTGGTTGTGGTAGCATAGTATAGTGTGGTGTGGCATAGTGATTGCGTGGTTAGTATGGTTGTGGTAGTGGTGAGGTGGTTATAGGGTAGTGCTCAACAACAATGGTGGTGGTGATAGTGATGGTAGGACGGTTATGGCAATAAAGGTAGTGGGAGTGGTGGTGGTGGCAATAGGGTGGTATTGGTGAGGATGGTCGTGGTAGTGGTGAGGTGGTTGTAGGGTAGTGCTCAACAACAATGGTGGTGGTGATAGTGGTTGTAGGATGGTTAAAGCAGTAAAGGTAGTGGAAGTGGTGGTGGTTAGGATGGTCATGGTACTGGTGAGGTGGCTATAGGGTAGTGCTCAACAACAATGGTGGTGGTGATAGTGGTGGTAGGATGGTTCTGGCAGTAAAGGTAATGGGAGTGGTGGCGGTGGCAATAGGGTGGTATTGGTGATGGCGGTGGTGATGGTGATGGTGATGATGATGGCGGTGGTAACAATGGTGGTAGTAGCAGCAACGATTGGTAATGGTGGTAGTGGAGGTAGTGATAACGGTGGTGGAAATAGTGATGGTGACACTAGGGTGGTATTGGTGATGGTGATGGTGATGGTGATGGTGATGGCGGTGGTTGTAGTATGGTGGTGGCGGCGACAATGGTGGTAGTAGCAGCAACAATGGTGGTAATGGTGGTGGGGGGGTGGCCAATAAAAGAGAGGCAAACAAACTATTTGATGCAAGACAAGTAGGGACAGTGTTGGATTTTGAAAACAGAGGTTATTTTAAGGCCTAAACAGTAAGTAATTTATGGTTTCACGAGTCAAATTGAAGGCTAATAGGTAGGGGAAGGGATTAAGGTTGATTTGAGGGTGATTGGATGGAGTTTTGAGGTTGAAAAGTGCACTTTTAGAAGGCTGTGAACACTAATCCGAGAATAGTAAATTGAAATAGAAAAGAAGCAGAAAGAAGAGAAGAAGATGGATCTAGGCATCACACCTAAATTCCATAGGCATCACACCTAGGGTTTGATTGCATCACACAATCCTTGAAGAAGCTTCAAAGCTCTCAATTTTTTATAAAATATCAACTACATTCAATTATAAGCATTACATGGCTTTATATAGAACTAAGAGACTTCCTAAACCAACTATAACCAGAAAATGAAACTATTATAATATCTTTGGCTTCCAAATAATCTAAGACTAAATAAGAAATAAAAACAAAGACTAATTAAATAACTTGACCCACATGATGACCCATAGGCGACCCTTACAACCCATGTTAGCAAATATGAAAATTACCAAAATACCCTTGACCTAAAAAGCGTAGCAAATATAAACTTATCATAAAATAAGACTCTAATAATACTAGAAACATAATTATAAAAATTTTCTATCAGTTTCTCAATGAAATAATGCCAATGCCCAAGTATAGTCACTTCTCTGAATTCAGCCTTCCTTGAGCTTCTTATACTCAGCATCACTATTTTAGCGTGTTTCCATGATTAAATGAAATGACTACTCCTTAACTTGAAGGAAATAATAGGTATTTCCACTTTTTGTTGCAATAGTTATTCAAATGGAATGGCTATTCCCTAATTACATAACTCGTAACAAACCAAATAAATGCAAAGCTGGAATGGCATTCCATTCCAGCATACCAAACATAGTATAAAAGCTTTCTACCTTTTAAATCATAAAGCTACAATCCATTCCTATCCTAAATCCATCACAAATTTAATTAAAGCAACTTGAGGCCAAGTTTCTTAAAGTTGTCCTCATCATTTTGACTCCAATTGGTATCCTTTGACTTGGCCAACCACCCTTCTAATGCAGTGCAAGCCAGAGGTCAACCATGTCTTTAACTAGTCATAGTCCTAAAAGGTTGTTCTATGAGAAAATGCCAAAGCATTGTTATTTTTTTGCACAAAGATAATTCGATTTTAGGACTTTTACCAAGTTTTCTTGAGTCTAGAACTTTCCCAATTTCTCTAAATCCTCATCTTCCCTTCTCTTTAAAAGCAGTGGTCTAGCGCATCCATTTTCCACATCTACTAATCTCCTCAAATGATAGGCCTAGTATTCTCCAAGCGAATTGAAAACCAAACTACAGTAAGTTCAAGCAAGGCACTCATGTTCTGTTGTGTATCAAGCAAGCATTGAGCTCACATTTCAAGCCTATCATTGAGATTGTTTTTCCCAATCTCTCCATTCTCTTTGTTTTTTACTTAAAATTTTTTTAACTTAAAATTCCCATTCTCCCCAGTCAAAAAAATTTGAGTCAAAAAATACACATCTGAAGAAAGATTAGATAAGAAAAGACAACATGAGAACAAAAACATTGCCCACAAAGAAGTGTAAAAAAAAAATTAAAAAATTAAAAAATTAAAAAAAAAAAAGAGTGAAGAAGAAGAAACAAACAATGTGACACAAAACACAAGGTCTCCCACATAACCAAAAAAAGCATAAATCCTCCCTACACAGTTGGGATAATTCAACCAAATATTCATCAAAATCCAATTCCTAGTCAGTGCCATCCCTAGCTTCGAGGGCAAATATCAATCAATAGTTTGGGATTAAACCTATGATCTGGACTGGATGCGTCTCATGCAAATTGAAATTAAAGAAATAAAATCCATAAGGTAGTAAAGCATTACAAACCAAAACATCAGCTGCATTAGTACCTTAGGTGGTTGCATTTCAGGAGAAAGAGCACCACCACAGTACTGTAATACTGTTGAGTTACATGAATTTATCCTCTCAGCTTGTTTTACAGCTCTATGGTCCATCCATACTATCACATTTCTCCTTGAATCACCACTCCAAGAAACTGAAACAGGGGAGCCTTCAGAATCCACAGCAACTACAGACAGAAACCATTTTGCATGAGTTTTATTTAGTCAACATCCCTCACACCACATTGTTTAAGCAACTTATGCAATAAAGTTCCCTAATTAAAGCAGTGATTACAAAAACTGGTTCAAAAATACAAACCTAGGGAACAAGTACCGGCAAATCCCAAACCCGTTACGTCTTCCCCAGCAACATTTGCAAGGGAACATGCTGATTTCACAGCCGCACAGATTGCATGCCAAATATCAGTTGAAGATTGCTGGATTTGGAAAGAAACAAAAATAAGAAAACATGACAATATATAAACTAATCATCCAAACACAAAAATGTCAATGTCATGCTCTTTTCTTGACAATTAGGATATCCTAAACATACTATACACAGGATGTCTTCCCAAAGTTTTTGTTGCTAATTTCATGCATAACCTAATCAGCAGATACATGTCAATATCTATGAATTTCCATTGTTTATCACCTCAACACAGTCACCCTCCTTCCAAATCTGTATTGGGCTGCTAGCAGAACCTAGAAGTTTTCCATTCTCATCAAACAGACCTGCATCAAGCAGCAACATGTAAAGAACAAATTGCAGTATCTAAGAAGAGTATAGATACTGTGCACACTTAATATACAACCAAAAAATAACCACCCATAATTGAAGAGTGAAGAGATGACAAAGTTCATTATTTCTTCAAAACACCAGGATAAGAAAACTAGTACGCAAATAGGCAGAATCTAATCTATGATTCAGCAAGAACCAAACATGGTGTATAAACATATCTATATCCAAATTTATTACTATATGTGTTCAACAGAATAGGAAAAAGACGCTAATTTCACCGACCCTCATTGAATAATTGACTTACCAATTCAAAAAGCATAAAGAATCACATTGTGGATAAAATTATGCCATTTTTTTTTTTTATCAGCAACAAAAATTTTATTGATTAATCAAGAAAAAAAGAGACGAGGATGAGGATGAGGATGAGGATGAGGATGAGGATGAGGCATCCTCCACAAATAAGAGAAACAAAGAAAAGAAAATACATAACCGACACAAAGACTTCATCCATAAAAAACTCTTACATGGCACATACCGACACCCAATCTCTAGCTAACAAAAACAGTGTAACTCCCTTAAAATGAGGGCTCATTGAAGCCCAAAAGGAAGCTAAGTGACAAACTTTATCCCACAGAAAATTCACATCTCGAGATGTATCTTCAAAAACCAATGCATTCCTCTCCAACCATAACACCCAAAAGGTTGCAAAGACAGCACAAAACCATAACATCTTGGCCCTCTTCGATCCTCCCAAACCACAGAAATCAATTAATAGCATTTGCGCACTACCTCTTGGTGCCACCCACAAAACATTCATCAAAAAAAACAACTTGCACCACAAGCTCAAAGCAACTGGACAATGCAAAAATAAATGATCCAAAGATTCACCATCCTGACAACACATAATGCACCATTGAGAATTTAGAAAACAATTAGATCTCCATTTTTTCAATGTATCATTTGTCAAAATGCCTCCATGAACCAAAGACCACATGAACATCTGTACTTTAAAAGGAACACAAACTTTCCAGATTCTTTTACAAAAAGGAAAATGAGGGACACAAGGAGTATCAATGATTTTGTCAAAAAAAGACTTGCAAAAAAAGATACCCAACGAATGAAGAGCACAAACTCTCTTATCTTCCACAAGAGGAGACAACGAAAAGTGATCAAGTCTTGACAGCAAAGATGTCAATTGTGTAGTCTTTCTGTAATTGAAGTTTCTAGAAAAATTAAAATTCCAAGAGATTAGAGCCAAAAAAGAGTAAGCCATGGAAGCAACCTATGAAGCACGGACACCCCTCCGAGGGCAACATTTCAATGTTGGACACGGACACGTGTCGACCACGAGGTGGACACGTGTCCGACACGTCCCAAAAGGTGTCCCTTTTTTCTTTTTTTCTTTTTTTTTGCAGCCAGACACGCTATAGACACGTTTCAGACACCGAGGGGCCAAAAACCTAGGTAGTGTTTGGTAGAGTTCTAGAATTATGATTTGAAAATAGAGTTGTATTTTGAGTTTGTGAGCTTTGGAATTATGATTTGAAAAAGAAAATTTGTTTGGTTATGAGTTTTAAAAAGATTTTTGAATTGAGTTTTGAATTTTTTATGAGACATGAAATGAAAATTTTTGTTTGGTTATGAGTTTTGAAAAGAGTTTTCAAAACTTAACATCTGTACTTTAAAAGGAACACAAACTTTCCAGATTCTTTTACAAAAAGGAAAATGAGGGACATAAGGAGTATCAATGATTTTGTCAAAAAAAGACTTGCAAAAAAAGATACCCAACGAATGAAGAGCACAAACTCTCTTATCTTCCACAAGAGGAGACAACGAAAAGTGATCAAGTCTTGACAGCAAAGATGTCAATTGTGTAGTCTTTCTGTAATTGAAGTTTCTAGAAAAATTAAAATTCCAAGAGATTAGAGCCAAAAAAGAGTAAGCCATGGAAGCAACCTATGAAGCACGGACACCCCTCCGAGGGCAACATTTCAATGTTGGACACGGACACGTGTCGACCACGAGGTGGACACGTGTCCAACACGTCCCAAAAGGTGTCCCTTTTTTCTTTTTTTCTTTTTTTTTTTGCAGCCGGACACGCTATAGACACGTTTCAGACACGAGGGGCCAAAAACCTAGGTAGTGTTTGGTAGAGTTCTAGAATTATGATTTGAGAATAGAGTTGTATTTTGAGTTTGTGAGCTTTGGAATTATGATTTGAAATGAGAAAATTTGTTTGGTTATGAGTTTTGAAAAGAGTTTTGAATTGAATTTTAAATTTTTGATGTGACATGAAATGAGAAAAGTTGTTTGGTTATGAGTTTTGAAAAGAGTTTTCAAAACTTAAACGAAACACACAATTCAAAATTCTATTCAAAACTCATAACCAAACTCTTTTTAAAATTCAATTCAAAAAAATAATTTATTATTTTGGTCTAAAAAAATAATTTCTATATTTAAAAAATATCAAAAACAAATATAATTTTTTTTTCCAAATAATAGGTGTTGATTGGCAATTGAAAAAAAAAAATTACTGTTCCGGAAGACCGGGTAGATCAAAAATTCAAAAACTGAGAGTTTTACCAAACATGTTTTCAAAAGGTGTTTTGAAATTGATTTGGAATCATGATTTAAAAACCTGTACCAAACATAACATTCAAATATGAGGGTGGAAATTTGATTAAAGTTACACACCAAACACAGCCCTAATTTCTGAAACTTCAATTGGGGGTCAATTTGTAAAAAAACAAAAATTGAAGCAAGTAAACCAGGCCCTAACCTGATATTGAACAGAAAGAGAAGAAGACTGCTCGCGGCTTATTGCTCTTGCGAAGGTATGTTCTTCGATCATCTTCTTCTTCTTTTGATCTTCTTCTGTTTTTGATCTCTCTCTCTCAGTTGCTCTATGTCTCTCAGTCGCTCTCTCTGTCTTAGTCGCTCTCTTTCTTTCTTCTTCTTTCGATCTTCTTCTTTGTTCAACGTCTCTCTCAGTCGCTCTCTCTCTCTCTTAGTCGCTCTCTCTGTTTCTCTCTCTCTCAGTCTCTCAGTCTGTCTGTCTTCATTTTTTTTTTTCTTCTTTTTATGCTAAATGGCTTTCTCTCTCTCTGTGATTTTTATTTTTTATTTTTTATATTGTTCTTTCTTTCTTTCTTTTTTTTTTACTTTATTTGTTATTTATTTATTATTTATTTATATTCTTTTTTTTTTTTTCTGATTACTTTATAAGAACAAATTAGTTTTTGTTAATTAGAATTATATGTGTTTATTAATTTTATTATCGGAACCAATTTTTATTAATAGTGTAATTTTCTATTTTTTTATTACCTTTTAATGATTTTTTTTTATAATTTTATGACATATAATAAATAAATTTAATTATGCATATTGAATGTGTCCCCAGCATGTCGTGTCCCCCTTTTTTGAAAATTTACGTGTCCGCGTGTTCGTGTCATGTCTGTGTCATGTCACGTGTCTGTGCTTCATAGGAAACAACAGAACAATTATGAGACTGAGCCACTCCATATAGATGTGGAAAATCCAAAGCAAAGGAGGAGGAGCCCACCCAAACATCCTCCCAGATCAAACAAGTTCCTTATCCCCCCCCCCTTACAAAAAGAAAACGAGACCAAAGTGTACAGATTTGAGAAATTGGCATCCAAAGAGCCCGACAATTGCCCCTCAAAACCACTTGTGAAGCCCCTGCCATTATCCTGAGTCCTATACTTGCCTCTAATTACAAAATGCCAAAAGTCAATCACTCTTAACTAGAAATCTCCATAACCATTTGCAAGTAGAGCCATGTTTCAAGCCACAATGTTACCAATGGCCAAACCTCCTTTGTCCTTCAGGAATGAAACTATCTCGCAAATCACCAAATGATCCTTCTTCCCCTCATCCTTACCTTCCCATAGGAAATCCGTCATCATCTTTTCTAATGACCTCACTACATTCACTGGAACTTTCAACAAGGATGAAAAAATAAATGGGAATATCACTTAAAACTATCTTAACCAGGGCCTTACTCCACCCTTCCAATCTCTTGCCAATCTTTTCCACAACTGGACTTAAAAAAGATTCACTTTTAGGATTACCCCCCAATGGAAGTCCCAAGTATTTGAAAGGAAGTGCCTCAATCCTACATCTAAGAAGTGCAGCCTTTCTTTGAAGCTGATTATGTTGCATATTAATACCCATCACACTACTTTTTTCCAAATTAACCTTAAGCGAATACCCCAAAAAGTCTCAATATCGCAAAAAGATTACCTATCTAACTCTCATCCCCTAAAGAAAAAAAGATTATATCATCAACGTACTGCAAGTGAATCACCCTAACTCTATCTCTCCCAACCTCTAAGTCCTCAAAAAGACCTACCTCTCTAGCTCTATCAACCATCCTCCTAACACATCAACCACCAAAATAAAAAGAAAAGGGGATAATGGACTCCCCTGTCATACACCTCTCGAAGCCGTAGAATTTTCTCCTGGTTTACCATTGACTAAAGCCATCGTTCACCATAACCTTTCTTATTCATTACGAAATCCAAAAAACTGTCAATTCACGTGATCGTATGCTTTCTTAAAATCAACCTTGAAAATAAGACAGACCCGAAAAAAAGATTATATCATCAACGTACTGCAAGTGAATCACCCTAACTCTATCTCTCCCAACCTCTAACTCCTCAAAAAGACCTATCTCTCTAGCACTATCAACCATCCTTCCTAACACATCAACTACCAAAATAAAAAGAAAAGGGGATAATGGACTCCCCTGTCATACACCTCTCGAAGCCGTAGAATTTTCTCCTGGTTTACCATTGACTAAAGCCATCGTTCACCATAACCTTTCTTATTCATTACGAAATCCAAAAAACTGTCAATTCACGTGATCGTATGCTTTCTTAAAATCAACCTTGAAAATAAGACAGACCCTCCTTCCTAAGACTTTTGTATTCCTCTACCAACTCATTTACCACCAAAGCCACATCTAAAATCTGTCTACCCTTTACAAAAGCCCCTTGTGTCACAGGCACTGTATCCCCCAGAGATGCCCTAAGCCTTTTCGATAAAACATTTCCCAAAATCATAATTTCACCAAAACCCTCATTGAATAATTACAAAAGCATAAAGCATCACATTGTGGATAAAATTAAAACCCAGAATCATAAATTTAGCACAAGATGTCAAGAACAATACATTATACTAAGAACTTGAAGAAGTTATTATAGAACAACGGCTCAATTGAATGTCTACACTAACACCTTGTTTGGATTGAGTGGTTTGGAGAGAAAAGAAAAGAAATCAATTTCTCTTGATCCTAATCACTTGTTTGGATTACTTAAACAGGAGAGAAATGAGGAGAAATGGAAATAAATTGAGAGAATTATCTCTGTCTAAAATGGGAGAGATTGTGAGAGAAAGTAAATGGGAAGATTACTAATTTTGTATATTTCCAAGATTACCTACAAACGAAATAAATCCATAAAAAAGTTATTTTGGTAATACAACCAACTTTCTTTTCTTTTCTTAGACGTAGTCTATCCAAACAAGATTGGAGAGAAAATGTACTAAATTTTTTTTATTTTTATTTTGTAGTGTTTATTGAATTTTTAAAATATTTATTTGTAAATATTTTACTTTTTGAATACATCTAGATGCATCTAAAAAAATGACCAAAATATTAAAAAAAAAGTTCACTAAAAATTAAAAAAAAAAATACGAATTGAAAACTCAAAATCTGATTTGAAAAACTGGATGACCAAACAGAGTGCTAGTGATCTTTTCTTTCCAACCTAACCAAACCAAACGAGAGTGAGTGAGACAATCATTTCTTTTCTCTCCTGGCTTAACAAATTATTTCTTTTCTTTTCTCTGCTAAATATCCGAACATAGTGTAAAATTTCACACGAAAATTTCATGTAAGTTTGAAAACAATCTTCTATATGAATAATTAATACCTAGCATTTTTCACTGCTCAATTAACAGAATTCCCAAAATATGCATTGAAATTAAAATCTATAAAAACCTTGACAACCATTGCAATGGAACAGTAAACGTTTAACCAATCATTTCAGTACAAAGAAGCCAATGAATCAATCAAACTCGACCAAGATAAAAGATATACATAAATATGGAGGGAGATGAAAATGGACCTGCGCGGGCGCTGCCGGTGCCGACGTCAACGCCGAGGAAGACGGAGGAGCCGCGGGGGGTGGCGACGGCGGAGAAGGGAGACCCGGCGGCCATTGAGGCGGAGGCGGAGGCGGAGGAGGGGCGATTGGAATAGCTATGATGGTGGTGGTGTTGGGGGTCCAGGAGTGGGGTTGTATCAGATGATGTTCTTCTTGTACCAACCATTGCTTTTCTTTCCTTTTATTTTTTTATTTTTTTTGGACTTTTGTCTTTTGTTCTTTTGTCTCTATCTTGCTAAACTTCTTGGTGGGGGTGATTCTGGGCTTATCTGATCTCTTTTTTAACCTTTTTTCACGACGACGACGACGATGATCCGGTGATGACTATAAAGTAATTTCACCTTCTAATCCGAAAATGATTAATTAGGTCATTTCCGTTCATTAATCACTCAATACAAATCTATAATTATATCTTTTTTTATTAATTATAATATCATTAAAGTAACACAATACAAATTTGTAATTATATTTTTTTTATCAATTATAATATCATTGGAATTGGTGTGGTTGCTGTGATGTGCAGTCATTTGGACCCTTTTCAGGGCCCATTTTAATAATCTGAATCGTTCACATTTTAGAATACATCAAGTAGAATATACTTGTAAAAAATCAAGTTAATCGGATATCGTTTATCCATTCATCCACTCACATTTGTATTCATTTTAATACTTTAAATTACAATTATTATTTATTTTTCTAGATACAAATGTGAGTGGATGAATGGGTAAACGATATCTGATTAACTTGATTTTTTACAGGTATGTTCTACTTGATGTATTCTAAATGTGAACAGTTCGGATTATCAAAAATGAACCCCGAAAAGGGCTCAAATGTGAACCCCGAAAAGGGCTCAAATGACTACACAGCAATGACTACTGTACACCTCCGCACAGTAGCCACCCTAATTCCAATATCATTGGAGTGACACGTGACGGTACCCAAAACAAACCAATAACTTCTCTGTTCTAATCTGATTTTGGGTGAATTTGGAATCTGGAAAATATATGGCCATTGTTTGATTTTTAAAAACTTGTTTTAGAAAAAAAAATAATAATAATAAAATGAAATTAAAAAAAATTACAAATACTAATAATTTTTATCTTTTCAGAGGCAGTATTAATTTTTAAAATCTTAAAATCATTTTTTTGATATTTATTTTTATTAAATTAATTTCTATTTTTTCAAAAAAAAAATTGGAAAACAAACCAAACAAAGTCTATATATGTTTTTTTTTTCTTTTTTTTATCAAAATTTTTTTGGTTGCAATGATTTTTATTCAAGAAAATATCAAAAAAGTGGGAACTAAAGAAAAATAATTACAAGCTCATGAAACTATAACTCATTTGCAAAAAAATTGTACAAAATCACTTGTACAACTATTTATATTTCTCATTTTTTTGGATATTCTCCCTTTTTTATTTTAAAAATGTGTTAAATTTGTTACATTTTAGGTTGATTTGTGTTGTGGAGAAAAAAAAACATATGAACTCGGGCCAAATTCATTGACATCAACCCAAAAAGATGAGGAATCTCGAGTAATTCCTTAAGCCCATAAAGGACAACTAGCAATAGGTTGATCCCAACTCAAGCGTGTAAAAAGGCAATTGAACATAAAGATATCCTTCTAGAAGGAAGATATGCAAATAAAGGAGAATCGTCAATTTGATCTTCAATCTGACGAATGAGAATGCAAGTTAGGAAATTCAAAGGTGTAGATTAGGCCTAGTGGGAACTAATGTCGTTCGATCAAAATCATCTCATGATTGTGATGCTCAATAAGTTGGCCACTAGCATCTGACAAGATCTAAACCATCCATACGATAAGGATTTAACAATTAAGGATATAAACAACTTGACAATTGGTTTAGTCATTGCCAAACAAAGGCAAAACCCTCTGATCAAAAAATAAACAAACAAACAAGATTTAAGTCAAATAACTATAAAGGGGCCAACAGGTAAAGAACTAGAGGCAAAAAAGAGGTAACTCAAGAACCCTCTTTGAAATACAAATTATACATTTCATATGGTCGATCAGTATACTAACTTGATTGTCAGAGAGTCCTCTAGACTAAAGTTGGTCGGGGGTGATAACTAACATTTGATTTTTCTTAACAAAGTAAAAGAACAAGACACATCATCTCACTTTTCCTGTGGAGATAATTTCACCTTCTACATATGTAAAAAAAAAAAAAAAAAAAAAAAAAAAAAAAAAAAAAGAAAAAAAAATAAAAATAAAAAAAAAAAATTTTTAAAAAAAAAAAAAAAATTTTCTTCAATAGAAATAAAAAAAAAAAGAACAAGAAAAAAAAAAAAAAAAAAAAGAAAAAAAAACCAAAAAAAAAAAAAAAAAAGAAAGGAAAAAAAGTATGAAAAAAAAAAAAGAAAAAGAAAACACAAAGGAAAAAAAAAAAAAAAAAAAAAAGAAAAAAAAAAAAAAAGGAAAGAAAAGGAAAAAGAAGAGATGTAAATCTAGGCTAATAACTGAATAAGAATACATAATATGTTTTCAAAACTTGATATCATGGTTTAGACGGCCGATCTTCTGATCGGGCGAGCGGGGTGCACGAAGTGACCTTCTCCAATTGTACGCCAAGTTCCAGAGCCAGGCAACTTTGGGATGACGAACACGTGGCCTTAGGCAACGAGCAGGGTTTCCTAAATTTCCCAAAATAAAATATAGGTGGCGACTCTGTATCTGGCAAAGCAGTCCATCGTTTGGGCACTTCTTCAAAACATCTGTTTCCAAAAACGATTTGCCGGATTTGGACTCTTTGATGCTTCATCTGTGGTTGCATTGCACTCTAACGAGAATTAGATACAGGACCGTGCCTTTGAGTCCTGAACTGCGGTGAGCCCCAAATGAACAGAACGGCACTCACCTCCGGGAACGTTCGGGGACGTCTACAAACGTTAGTACTTCTTCTAACTCAAGTGCAAGAAGTGATGCTCGCAGCACATAATACACACTTTCAGAAGTTTATAGATGAAAGACATCGCTCGACGCTCAAGATTGGCCGCTCAAAGCGTCACAGCGTCGAGCGTAGAAAACGCCGCTCAAGCGAGATACACTCTCAGTATTTGTAAAGGTCTGAAAATACTGAGAGTTGCAAATCCCGCTAGAGCGCAAGAATGGCCACTCGAGCGGAAGTAACAAAATTACAAGCCCGCTCGAGCGGAGAAGCAAAAATTTACAAAGCCTGCTCGAGCGAGAAGCAAAACTGGGCAACCAAAGGTTTGAAAATCAAGCAACCAAACCTATCCAACACACAGTTACAATAATAACTCAAATTCAAGAAAGAACAAGAGGAAAAGACAATGAACAACTATACAGAGGCTGACGAAATTCGAGTCAAAACACAAAATGAGTAAGGTCTAAACCAAAAATGCTATAAAGGAATGTTGATAGATCATATATGTAGTAGTTAACAGAGAAAGTCAGATCAAAATGCCCGAAAAGATCGATAATGAGGAGTATTATAGTCGACTCTTTTGTGCCGCCTTTCGAAGAACGAATAAGCCCTACAATACGGACTTCCCATGTTCCTGAATTTAACTCACAAGTGCAATATGAATAGATAAACCCAAAGAGTCTAAATCCGGTAAATTTTTGAAAAATCATTTTGATCAACTTTCTAAAAATGCTACTGCTTGCTAGATACAGAGTCCCATCACCTAAATATTTTGAGAATTTAGGAAAATCCATGATCATGGCCAAGGCCACATGTCGTCATCACCAAGATTGTCTCAACTTGGAACTTAGGTACGGAGAGGGGAAGGTCTTGACACCCCCTCTCGCCCGACTCAAAGATCGGGGTCTGACTAAATCATGATGTGAATCTTATTTATATTATATGCTTTTATTTACGATTATTGGCTAGAATTACTAATGTATCGGCACAACACACAAGTATAGACTAAGCTTGCAAAAATTAGCACATTGATTCATGCTTGTTTGCAAAATTGTTTTCAAATATGTACCGACTTGAAAAAGTGATCACATATTAAACTTACTCAAATTATTCTAATTCAGCAACTAGCCTTCCATACCACTGGTATTCCGGAGTTATCAGCATTTAAGCACTTAGCCTCATGGTGAATATGCTAGACATGGCAATACTAACATACAATCAATATGCCTACAACAATAAAAGCTCATCACCTAGTACTCCAAAACCAAAAAAGATGAAGAGTTTAGAATAATTTATGATCCTAACTAATGCAATATGAACTAATGCAACGTTGCGATATGCAACTAATTAGGCTCAGCTACTTAACAATGGCATATGAATCAATTTGATAGCATGCGGTCTAAGCACGCTTCAAAAAAGTATTAAACAAACAATACAAGTCCAAAATGATAACCGAGCCTTGATGTATGTGTAGACGTCCCCACCAACGCCCCGGGAGGAAACCAAGCTCCCATTCTGTCATTTGGGGTCACTACAGCTCAGGACCTCAATTTGTCACGGTTCTAAATCTGAAACCAAAGCAGTCCAAATCCGGCAAAATCGTTTTGAGAAAACAAGATTTGAATAGAGTGCGCAAACATGGCACTGCTTTGCCAAATACAGAGTCGCCACCTACAATGTTTTTTTTAATGGGAAATTTCGGAAACCTGACTCGGTGCCAAAGGCCACACGTGTCCATCATCACCAAAGTTGCCTCGGCTCGGGAACTTGGGTACATTGGGGAAGGTCACTTCGTGAGCCACCCCCACTCGACCGATCAAAGATCGCCTCTACTAACAAATGATATCAATTTTGAAAACTTTGTGTGTCTTATTCCGTTATTAGCCTAGTTACTATGTGATGCACACAGCATATAAGTATAGACTGGGTCGCCTGCATTGGAACAAAACATTTCCATGCTTTGTTATTGAAAGAGGGTTTGCTACTTCCGCAAGTAGGCTAAAATGCCAGATTTTGCCACCGCAGGTGGGCTTAGAAAAAGATGGTTTTGCACTATCATAGTGGCTTAAAACTCTCACAGTCATGAATTTGTTCCAATCCCAAGTAATCCAACCTTCCACCCACAGGGCATTCAAGGCAGTTATGTCACATAAGCAAATTAGCCTCATGGTAAGCATTGCTATTCATGGCAGTCACTCACACCGCATGCGAGGATGCTAAACATAAAAAAAAAACTCACTCGAGTACTCCAAGCCAAAACAGA